TCATCTACTGATGGGCACTTGGGCTGTTTCCAAATCTTGGCTCTTGTAAATAATGCTACTATGAACATAGGGGTGCATATATTCTTTCTGATTGGTATTTTGGGGTTCTTAGAATATATTCCTAGAAGTGGTATCACTGGGTCAAATGGCAGTTCCATTTTTAATTTTTTGAAGAAACTCCATACTATTTTCCATAGTGGTTGTACCAGTCTGCATTCCCACCAAATGTAGTCTCCTTCCATCAACGGTGTGTGGCAGCCCCAATCCAGAAACCCTTTGGTTTCCCTTCTCCAGAGAATTAACCTGCAGGCCTCTCCTGGGCAGTAGCTGATCTGAGTGGCGTAGGGGACAGAATTGCTTCTTGTGCAGACCTTTAAGCAGTCGTCCTGCTTTAGCGTCACCCTCACCCTACTTCTGGAGATACCTTTGTCTTCTGAGGATTTCATATAGTAAATCAGTTTGCACCAGGGCTTTTTCCACCGGTGCCTTCAGACTGATTCAACTTGGTCACCACCCTTCACTCTGCTTTTTCAAGCGCCCATGTTGTGCTATTGCTTTCTTTTTTTCCTGTTCTCTTTGTCCCTGTCAGTGGTTTGTGTCTTTTATTTTTGTTCAATTTAATGGGGAATGGGGAGGGGGTTAAGAAGGGAGTGAAGGCTAACACATGAATTAAGCTGCTCTCCTCAATTAGAAATTCCCCTGCCTTACTGCTCCCCCACCCTACCCCTCCCCGACCACAACTTCCTGCACCGATCCATTCAGGGCCTGCAGGACTGGTTGGCTGAGCTTGAATCCAAGAAAGTTGATTGCCCACTCAAACATTCACTATAAGCACTGTCCCTATGCCAGCCCCGACCAGTGGGTAGATTTCATGCGGCCTGGTAGGGTATTAGAAAGACCAGAATTTCCCCTGAGCCACCCTCTGCTCTGTATTGCTGTGAATAAATCACCTGGCTGTCTTGTGTTGTCAGAGTGGCCCTGCTTATGGGGCCAGGGTGAGTTCAGCAGGCTGGTGGATCAATCTAGGCTCTGAGGGATGGTCTCACAGGTCTGTCATTTAGCTTTTAATACATCTGGTACTGGGTTTTATCCATTTGTCCATTGTGGCCAATGTTAGAAAACTAAGGTGAATCAGTCATAGCACACTATTCACCTTACAGAGTGCTTATTTATTAATTTATAATGGGTGGTGCCTCTTTCCAATAACCGGGTCATTTATATTTGCTCTCCAGGGTCTTCTTTCTCAGGTATCAAGCCAGAAGGAAAGCTCACGGTTATCAGATGTCTTCTGTATCCGAAGGTATACTAGTTACATTTTCATACATTATTTCCAGTCAATCCCCACTCTCACCCTGTGAAGTGTTATCTCCATTTTACACGTGAGGAAACCAATTGTTCAAAGAAGCAGAGTAAATTTCTCAAACTTGCAAAACCAGTGTGAGCAAGGGAGCCCCTGCTGGCCGCAGTACCCGCGGGCCTCCTCCCAGCCTGGACCAAATGACCACAGAGTGAGACAGAGAGAGGTGGCCTCACAAGCAGGAGTCAGGGGTCAGGAAAGGCCTCTCTGCTGACCCTAGATCTGAGCCCTGAAAGAAGAGTGTGGACAAGCGAAGGGTGTGGGCAGTGGCCCTGAGTGGGGAGCACTGGGGTGAGTTTGAGGAATCATGTGGCTGCAGCCCGGCGAGAGTGGGTGAGCCCTGAGGAGCGCCCTTGGAGACCTCACGGAGAAAGACTGAGGTGAAATTGCCAGTGTACAGCCCAGGCCCCCTTGAAGCTGGGATGACTGCTCAGTGGCTAAGCTCAGACTGCTTGGTATGGTGGGCAGGGAGGCTATAAAAAAAACCAGAATTTTCTATCTTCATATGACACTCTAGGATGTTCCAGTCCCTCAAATCACCTGGATGCTTTTTTCCAACATGACTGACTGCCTAGTGTTGGTAATTTCCTGCAGAAGATTTGCTAACTGGACTATCACTGTTTTTCTTACAATGCTGCATGATCTGTAAAGTCTTCAAGTTTGACCAGTTACTGATGATTAATCATTTGAGGACCTGTAGACCTGTGGTTCCTCAACTTGAATGCCTGTCGGAATCACCTGGAGAGGTTATTAAAAATACAGAGGCTTGGGGCCTAACCTAACCTACTAAATCATTGCTAATTTTTTTCCAGGCTTCACAAGCTGTTCTTATGCAGCTGGTCTGACCACTTCTCAGGAAGTTCATGGTCTGGGACAGGGTCAGTGGTGGGTCACACGAGGTCAGACAGGTGGGTGAAGGCAGCAAAGGCCCATGTTTTCTGCCTCCTGGTGGATATTCCAGCAGGGCAGGGAGTGTATCCTATGTATGTAGGTGCCATGTATGTTCACTTCCCTTTCTTTCAAAAAGGCTGTGCTCACACATTGAATCAATTATCTAGTGATATTTCTATAAAGTGCTGTGGTCATTGTTCTCAAAACCTTATTAACTGTGCATTTCATCAGTCCTAAAATGCACATCTTGCTCTGGCTGGTGTGGCTCAGTTGGTTGGAGTGTCGTTCCGTACACTGAAACGTTGCAGGTTCGATTCCTGGTCAGGGCACATACCTAGATTTCAGGTTCGATCCCAGTCAGGGTGCATATGGGAAGGCAACCAATCTTATCTGTCTCTCTCTCCCTCTCCCTACCTCCCTTCCCCTCTCCCTAAAATCAATAAGCATGTCCTCAGGTGAGGATTTAAAAAATAAAAATAATAAATAGATAAAATGCACATCTTTTCACATTTTAACATCTCAGAAATGGGGTTGTGCCTAAAAATGGATTATATCTTAGCTTTGTTATAATGCAGTTGAGAGTTTTTCTTTTTATGGTATGTAAAATAACGGTGCCACTTAAAATCAATGCTATCTTCAAACTGATGAAACACAGTAGTGGAAAAAGGAACAACATACTTGTATAAACAGGTAGCTGACGTGAGTTTTGCTCATGCTGTTCCCTCTAGACGGGTAATTCTGCACCTCTGCTTCACCAGTTCTACTAATCTATTACAACTTAAACCAATGCCTCCTCCTCCAGGAAGCCTTCTGTGTCACCCAGTCCCACCACCCAATCTGTAGCCTAAATCTTCCCTCTGGCCTCCTGTACTTGCCTCTGACTTATACCTATCACCCTGTTACGTTTATCCTGTAATTGGTCCATCCGTCCCTGAACTAGATCGTGAGGTCCTTGAAAGCGAAGATACAGTCGTGCACCTCTGTGTTCCTAGTACCTGGCACAGAGCCTGGAATTCAGTAGAGGTTCAATACGTGTTTGTTGAATGAATGAATGAATGAATGACGAAAGATCGAATAGTCACAGGCAGTATATTATCTATATCACATGTAATGCAGGCAGAGCACAGGGCCTGGAAAGGGCAGGGATGGCTTCATGAAGGGGATGGGATGGAGGCCACTCTGGCAGGACGGCTGATGGGATGGCTCGGGACTGAAATGAGCAATGAGAAAGGGGCAGCGCTTAGACCTCCATCTCTTCTACTAGGCAGGTCCTGTGATGACTGTGATTTGGTTGGCTTTCAGGTGTGAATTTCAGGAGGCTATGGGGTTTCATTCATCATTATCCTTAATAATTAACTCTGGGTGCTAAGGAATGAGCCGTTCAGCCCTCAGTAAGCTGTCACAGGAAGCCCTGAATACACACACAGGCTTTGTGGTTTAGACCTCAGAGCTTCCTGCCAGAGCCTGATGAGATGTAGCAAGTGTGAGAGGCCAGGAGAAGGCGGTGGACGGCACCACAACCATGGCACCGACATTTCAAAGCAAGTGACTTCTCACTGCCTATCGCTTTAGAACCTTAACCGAAAACTGTTTTGCTCTCCCCACTTCCCCAAAATACAGCTAGCATGACTCTAGCTGGGTATGAGGTCTGACCTTTTAATAATGGTCATTGAAGACATGTGGGATTTGATTCAACTGAGCGGCCTCAAAGCCTGCCCTTGTTTGCCACCTGATAGGCTCGAGGCCACCTCCAGTGTTCATGGATTCCTCTGTTTTCCAGGATGACTCTCATTGTGACCGTGTCTGAACAGTTAAGGAAGTGGTACCCACAGAATTACGTTTTCTGGTGCCTCTTGTTGAAGTTTGTGCATGGAGGCTTAATTCATTGTACAAATCTACAAGCTGGGACCTGGGGGGCATGTTCTGGTTGTTCTGGTGGGTAAGGGGCCCAGGTAAATTGGGGTGACCAAATTTGGTCCTGTTGCCACACCACCAGCCTCTTCTTTATATAGCAGCTTCATGCTGGGTTCCTTTCTTTTTTTTCTTTTTTACTTTTTAAAAGTTTTTATTGATTTCAGAGAGAGGCAGGGAGAGGGAGAGAGAGATAGAAACGTCGATCAGCTGCCTCCTGCACACCCCCTACTGGGGATGGGGCCCACAACCCAGGCATGTGCCCTGACCAGGAATCAAACCGGCGACCTCTTGGTGCATGGGACAACACTCAACCATCTGAACCACACTGGCTGGGCGATGCTGGGTTCCTTTCTATAATGAGTAGGCACTGGGGTCATGTCAAAGCTTTTATTTCACACCTACTCCCGAGATGGTGAGCAGGTGTCCAGTAGGTACATAAGAAATCCAAGAGTCTCTGGAACAGGCAGGCGGCTGGTAACAAGACATGGGCACAGTGACCACCGGATGTCGCACAGGGAGGCGAGGAGAGCTCTCGGGTTTTATGCTTGGTCACCCATCGTCCTAACGATTGGACTTTTATTGTCTCTCCCTTCCTGGTGCAGTGGCACTTTAGGAGGAAGCCGGAGACTCCAGATATCAGACCGTGTGGCTGAGATAGGTGTGCAGGTGTGGCTGTGGGCCATGACCTCGGGAGGTCATGACGCCCTACTCGCAGGACACAGCTGATGGAAATGCAGGCGTCCATACCAGCGTGCTGGAGTTCCACAGTGCCCTTGTGGGAAGGGACAGTTTCTATCTCTTTTCATTAGAGGACAGGGACAGCTCTGCCAGAAGACAGTTATGAGTTTTCTGTGGCCCCACGGGGAAGCTTTGGTTGAACTCGAGGCCTGGGGAGGGGAGGTCCTTTCTGCTGGTGAAGTTGGGTGCCAGGGGAAGGAAGAGGCCTCTTCTGCTGCTGGTGATGGGCCCGGTGGCCAGGAGGCGGGGGACGATGACCATGTGCCTGGGGCCGGTGACCAGGTGGTGGAGGAGCTTGGGACATGACTGGATTTTGAGTAGCTGAGGCTGGAATTTGCTGGGGCCGCCGGCTCCTCTCCTCAGAGATGGTTCTGTGTGCTCTGATCTCCAGTTCCTCATCTGCAACAGTAAAACCTCTGGAGAGTTCATCTTGGCAACATATGATCAATGCAGCTATTTACCGAGTGTACGTCCTCTGTACAAGGCGTCATGCCAGCTGCTTTCAGAGATGTGGGGAGGAGGCAGAAGCTGCCCCTGCTCCCTGAGGGTTCCCAGCCTTATAGGGGAGACAGAAATGCCCACCAGCAAGTAGAATGAGAGACAAGGAGACAGGTGGGGGCTTTTGTGCCTGGGTCTCCCGGGAACAGAGAGGACACTCGGACCCCACAGTCCGGCCTCTGTGCCACCCTGGAAATGGCAGGCTGAGAGCACCTCGTGGTTAGAGGGCTGGCAATAGGCTGAGTGGGCAGGAGGAACGACCTTCCTTCAGACGGTTTCCCTGTTAGATCTGCCTCTCGCCCAATTCTGCTCTAATGCAGCCCACTTTCTAGAGAAGGCTGGAGGTTACACAAGGGGTTTTTTAGTCCTTAGAGACTTACTAGTTTCTCATAAATTCAAAAGTAAGCCCCATCCTCTTGTACTCAGGAGGAAAAGAATTTCTCCTCTGGTCACCCCTCTGGGATTTTCTGCTTTGTGTGACTGTCATCCATGAAGACAGGCCCATGACTCCTAGTCATGTAGTTTGTCCTATGCGCTTTTAAAAACTCCCAGAAAATGTGTGAAGATTCTCAGCTGCTAGAGAGCTGGAGGACCCCACTGGCCCTTATGACCTCCTTTGGGCTACCAGGGAGGTATCGAGTCCCTGTGCCCAAGGCCTTCTTGGCAGCGCTCTCGGGGAGGGCAGGAACACATTCTCCCTGGGGTCACATCATCACAGGGATGAGGGCTTCGCAAGCGCTTTCCCTCTAGACTGAGCATCACCCTATAACTTGGGGTGATGACGGCAGGCCAAAGGCTTCCTCCTGCTGCTGGAAATCCTGGCCTCAGGCAGCTTCCAAAGTGAGGACTTAAGGCAGCAAAGCGGTTCAGACATGTGAGAGGGTGGTGTGCTCTAAGCACATGAAGAAAAGCGCACAGAAAGGGAGAAACACATCCTCTGTGCCAGGGCTGGGGAACGTCCAGCCTGCAGGCCATACACAGCCCGCAAAATCATTCGGTCTGGCCCTGCCAAGGCCTCACCAAAGAGAAGCAGTTCTAGCCATCCCATTAGGGATGAGTTAATTAAATGTTTGACCAAATATAGCAGGCTAGTTTTTAAATTGATAATTTTGTACGGCCCTTGAATGATGTTATAAATATCCATCCAAATAGCCCTTGGCAGAAAAAAAGGTTTCCCACCCCTGCTCTATGCCATCCTTGGTGCCCGCCCCAAGGTCATGCCCAGGAGGTGGGGCAGAGGACTGTGACCTTTGACCCAACTCCCAGCTGTGGGACAGTGGGGGTCCTTTCAAATCTGAAGGTAGCCCAAGGCCACCAGGTCCTTCCTTGGGGGATGCCCATCCTAGGAAATGACCCAGAGTGAGGGGGCCCAGTCCTACAGTGAATGCGAGGTTGCCCAGGATCTGAGGGGCCTGCCTACCTGGCTGCCCAATGGCTGGATGCCCCCTGCTGGACCCACCTGTAGCATGGGGTCCCAACAGCCCCATCCCAGCACCTATGGAGGCACCTGGTGTGCCATTAGAGTTGTCCTCTCTTATCCACAGTTTCACTTTCTGTGGTTTCAGTTACCCGTGGTCAACTGCCGTGCAAAAATATTAAATGGAAAATTCCAGAAATAATCAATTCATGAGTTTTAAATTGCACGCTGTCCTGAATAGCATGATGGAATATTGCTCTGTCCCATCTGGATGTGAGTCATCTTTGTCCAGTGTATCCACTCAATATACGCTCCCCATCTATTAGTCACTTAGTAGCCATCTAGTCCTCAGATCGACAGTGTATTGTTATAATCTTTCTATTTTATTATTAGTTATCGTTGTTAATCTCTTATGAGCCTAAAGTTATAATTTAACTTTATTATAACTATGTATTTGTAGGAAAAACATAGTATATATAGGGTCCAGTACTATCTGTGATTTCAGGCATCCACTGGGGGGTCTTAGAATGTATTCCCCACAGATTAAGGGGGGGGGCGGCTGTATCTGAACACACTGCCTCTGGTAGCCTGGATGCTCTCTGAACCAGCTCCCCATTTATGAGCAAAATCTTTGTATTCTTGGTGGGTCTTCAAACAGGCCTGATTTGAGGGACGGACACTCAGAGCCCTAATACATCCCACTAAACAGTGAGTCGGAAAAAGAGGCGTAAACATCTGGTTTTAGAAAAAGGGGGTTCCTGTGGGTCCCCGGTGCCTTGAAATTTAACCAGTGTTCCCAGGAATTTGGCCACCCCACGGGAGTGGACAAGATGTTTGTTCACAAAAATGGTGTTTTTGAAGCTACTATTTCTACCCACTGAGTGACTTATTCAAAATGTGTCCACACACAGGGACAACAGTGTGGAGATTGTGGGGGTGGAGGGGGATGGGTGGAGTAGGAAGAGGGTGTAGAGGGGATAAAAGGTGATGGAAAAAATAAAATTAAAAAAAATATATGTCCACACAGCCTTCCACGGAATCGGCCTCAGGGGGTGGACACCAAGGGGGCCAACCTGGATTCGGCTTCTTGAAGTTCCCACACTGTCATCGCTGAGAATTCGTTTTGGAGAAGTCAAGCTAACCACAAAATGGCACAAACGGCGACCTCCAGTCACAACCCCGGCATTCTGAAACCGCCCGACTCCGCTGCTGTGTTGCCAGCCTCGAGGGCCCTCCCTAGGAGTCGTTTCCACGGGGATTTTGCCCAGGCCTGCGGTGGGGGCGTGGGGGGGACAGAAGGGGGGCTTACCATTCTTCCTCCTGTGCTGTTTTTTCCTCTTGCTGATGAAGAGAATGAGCAGTGCCACAAAGAGCAAGAAGAGAACGCCTCCTCCGCAGATGCCAATGATGAGGTAGATGTCCAGTTCTTTCTCTGCAAGAGGGACAGAGGCGGGATGGAGGGACGGTCCTGGCGAGGGCCATCACTGCTCTGGCCACCCTCCTATCCCACTTTTTTTTCCCCTCTCACCCTCTTGACCAGGCAGTGTCCAAAGACTAAGGGTAAATGTGTCCCTTGTCCAGCCCCGCCCTCTGACCGCGGCCAGCCTCCCCTCCCTGACTCCCCCTGGCCTGTGAGAGAAGCTGGCACACAGTGAGTTAGCAGCAGCAGTGGACGCGATCCTCAGCTCCCAGACCTTCTCCAGTTGCTGCGATGCAGTGAGGATAACAATGACTCAGTGCTCAGAGAAAAGGGTTTGAGGTCCAGGCTCTTCTAGGCGAGAGCTTTGCGACCTTTGGCAAGTTACTCCACCTCTCTGAGCTGGTTCCTTTCTTTGTAAAATGGAGATGAAGAGACTTACATCACAGGGTGGCTGCTGGAAGTCAATCAGATAATGGATGTGAACGTGCTTTGTAAACTGTAAAACCACACACAGAGGCGAGGTCCTGGTCTTGTAGAGCTCTGTGCGCTGGCGTTTCTGGGAGCCGTTTTCTGGGAGGGCTGCTGGGCCGTCTGCCCTTTGTGGGTCAGCGGCAGCTAGAGAGGCAGTAGCTGGGGCCAGGGGTCAGGGGACTCATACATCTGGAGAGCAAACTGGAGCTCAGCCCAAGGTCACAAAGAAACCCTTCTCCAGCCAAACATTCCTAGGAAGATACTCTTACACACGGAGCCCAGGACAGGCCCCAGGAGCAAGCCAGAGGCCCAGAAACCAAACCAACAGACTGCAGTGGTGGGCTAACCTGTGCTTGCTTTCTTCAACTCTCTCTGACCGGTTCTTTGCCTGCCAGTTGCACAACCCCTCTGGTCTGCAGATGAAGGGGCTTCCTTTAGAAAAGCAGGCGTAATCCTAAACTGCTGTGAAATGGGTACAAGAAAGTATCGGGTTCTTTGGGATCTGCTGGCTGGGAGGCAGGGCTGGGGCTGCAGGGGTCTCCCTCAGGCTGGGCAGAGAGCACCCCAGGTTCTGTGCCAGGTGGGCCAGGACTGGTCTGGAAGTAGTTGGGGAGCACAGGGCTCAGCCACCCAGCCACCAACTGGTCCTCTCTGAGAGTCCTCACATGGCCACACCCTCATCTTGGGCACACTTACAGTCAGTTCTCAGGTTTGTCCAGCACGGCCCTCTGGGGTGCCTGGCAGTGCTCTCCGTGGGAGACATTCCAGCTTGTCTCAGAGGCATTTAAACTACATGCTCACAGCATCTAAAGCCAGCCACCCTCCTTCTTGCCCTGCTTTTTGGAGAGAACATGCCCAGAAGTCTATGTGGTGGGTCCTTCCTCCTGTGTTCTGGTTTTAAGTACATAGTCACCTATGCTGAGCCCAGGGGTTAGTCATATCATCACTCCTCTCTGCCTTGGCCTTTCAGGAGGAAACATTCAGATCCTTTTTAGCGTCTTCAGGAGCAGTGCCCTCCTCCCCAGTGCCCCCACCCCTCCTCTGCCCCCAGGTATTCCTCCCATCTCTTCTGTGGCTCTTCCCAGGCCGGGTCCTGCTCTGCACCATAGAGTAAGGGACATAAAGTTTCTAGTCTTTGAACCTCAGCTTTCCCAAGGCCCTCCCTGCCTCCCTAATGTGCACACATTTTTATACTGGTGGGATCTAGTTTTTAAAAACATGGAGTAATGTTGTCAGATAAAATACAGGGTGCCCAGTGAAACTTTAATTAAACAGTGAATAATTTTTAGTTTAAGTATGTCCCATGCAACATTTAGAACATTTATGCTGTCTTTTTTTTTTTTTTTTTTTTTA